CGTTAGGTGTCACTCTGGTATGCCATGCTTCTAATGTTTTTCTGTTTCTAAAGGTGCCTTTGTCAATAATTGACGCGTTTTAAAAATCAATGGCGTGGTTGTTGGACAAGGCGTGATTAGCAATTCTAGAACCTTTGGCCGCAGTTTTGATATTTCTCAAATGTTTTTTTGTTCGGCTATTGAGAGCTCCACTGGTTTCCCCAATGTAACACCACGAACAATTTGCACAGGGAATTTTATACATAACATTGGTCTGCGATTCCATCGAAGGTCGGAATTTCGGCGCTGGGAACTGTTGTTGTAGAGTGGTAAATGGTTTGTTTACCACTACGACATCATGTTTTCTGAGGACGCGTGTCAAAGGTTCAGTTACTCCTTTGATGTAAGGTAGAGAAACGAAAGACTTGCGTGACTCGGTTGGTTCAACCATCTTGAAAAACATTCCAACAAGTTCCTCTGGGGATACAATTGATGTGGTGGATCGAGTTTTTCTAGCCTCTGTGTTTTTGATAAACTTGGATGGACAGCCGTTCGACTCCTAAGCTGCATGGACCTAATTAAGTTCCTGCTTTTTTCGTTCGGGGGAATTGGGTAGATTTAGAACCCTGTGCAGGAGAGTTGATGCTGTGCTGACCTTGTGTTGTCTGTCGTGATGGGAATTAAAATCTAAATATCTGTCTGTATGAGTGGGCTTTCTGCAAACATCAACAACGATGACTCCATTTCTCCGGGAGACCAGAGTGTCGGGAAAAGAGATCTTTCCATTACATTCGGTCTCGATGGTAAACGAGATGTTTGTTTGTGTCAATTGAATTTAAAGTGTCATGGGAGGCTGAAACATCGTTCTTTCTAATGATGCAAAAACTATCGTCCCCGCACCTTTTCCAAATTTTGGGGGGAACAGATGAATTATTGATTGCGAACTCTTCGATCTTCTCCGTGCAAAGATTGGCCACAACGGGGCTGATAGGACTGCTCATCGCACAGCCATGGACTTGTTTGTAAATTCTGTCATTGAATGCAAAATAGTTGTTGGACAAGGTGAATTGAAGAAGTGTAGTGATGTCATCAATGTCCAAATTTGTCCTTGAA